TTTTTTTTTTTTTTTTAATTCTCTTTTCTACCTCATTCTGCTGTAACAAGTGAGTTTCCCTGGTGAAGGATTAATAAAGTTCTATCTTAACTGATCTGATCATCCTGCAGAGCGTCAGTAAACTTAAACTCTGATGTTTTCAGACTCACTTGCAGGGAAGAATTCGAACCACATCGTTGAGCTGGTATGCTTCAATACACACGGCACAGTGGTTAAAGTCCGGATCAGTCTCCTAACACAGAAACACAACACAGATGGAAGAGAACGTGTTAACATCAACAGCTTCACTCTGAAAAACTCCTTTTCCTCAGCTTTTTACCCTCTGTTCTATTTATCTTTACTCTTCGTGTGACCTTTGACCTTTGTGTCAGAGTGGTCGTCCATCTCACCTACAACCTAAAAGTTAACATCACAAACAACAGACACTCTGGGTCCGACCTCCCACCAGGTTCAGCAGTGTTATTATTTAATGATGGACACTGAGACAGTGAAACAAGGACATCTCAGCATTTACCTTGTCACCTTTCTTCACCGTCCTCGTAGTCAACTTCCCAATGGCTTTCTTTGCCGCATCACCAAGACGACGCTGAGAGACATAGAGCATAAATATAGATGGACAGAGTAAATATATCTATGAGTATATTTTTAAAAAAACTAAATACATTTATAGAAAAACATCAAGCACAAATGTATTTGTTCATGTTTCATGATAAATTCAGATCATCAAGTCAGGTGATAAGGGTGGTTCTACAGCAGAGAGGAGGTGTGTATATTACCATGTTAGCTGTATATTAGCCTGTTAGCTATACATGGAGCTGTATGGAGCTGGAAGTGTGCTTGGTTTGGCTCTGACAGTGCCAGTATAAAACTAAAAAAGAACTTTGTTAGGGTCCAAACATGTATGAAAACACCCCAAATTAATACTATATCCAGTTTCCACTGTATTTTTCTACAAGTATGTTATATAGATGTCGAGGTGGTCCATTCTTTTAAGCCAGTTTTTAAATTCACTTGATCCAATATTTGCATGTTTTAAACTATTTTTTTGGAGTATTAGTAGTTGTATATATGTTTTGCAGTTGGTTTTAGTTTTATGTTTGCTGTTATTATAGCAATGCATGTTTATACAGAGGATCAAAGTGATTACTAACAGCTGTGGTAAACTGGACCACACCTAACATGGCCCAGGATTGGCAGACGAAGCACAGGGCGCTTCTTTTAAAGGACTGGATTGGGACAGGTAAGAAGAGGAAAAAAGGACGACTGAGGACACAAGTGCGACAACACAAGAGTTTGACACACCGCAAGGTTGACTGTGACACGAGGTAGTTTTCACGATAAATGGGACAGCAAAGAGAAACCCCATACGAGGTACCGGATGAGGACCAGTGAGTGAGATGTGACGCGAGGCTGGAAAGACTGAGTTCAATGCCTGATAAAAGCTAAGTGAGGGAAAGTTAAACAAGGAAATGTGACGTGTATGTGTGCTGGTGGTTGTGTGTGCCGGTGACTCAAGGTGCTTCCTTCTCCTCCTCAGTTGCAAGGACGAGACACGGCAGAGAAAACAGCCCCGAGTTTTTTTGTATCATTTTTAAGTGGCTGTCTTTTATTTTATTGTAGCTGAACACCTTTTGTTTTTATTCTGCTATTTTAGTGACATTAAATAAATAGTTTTAAAGGACCTCCTGTGTTGCTCCATTTCTCAAACACTGGAATTCACTTTGTGTTGCTGGTACAACATAAAAGAGAACCTCACACACTTGTGTGACATAGACACTGAAGTTATAGTTTGTGCATGGGAGACTGCAACCTTCTGTCAGTGTCAAACAGGGGTGGGGGGTGGCATCACGATGTTGGCTTAACTTCATGATGATTGTCAGTCATTGTCCTAACCCTAGTTAGCGTGTTACCTGACTGCGGTCTCTAGCACTGGTGTAGCGGATCTTCTGGATGAAGTAGAAGATGAGCCAGGCCGATGAGATGATCATGAGGACGATGAAGGAGATGGAGACAAAGACCAGCGAGCCTCGGTTGATGTTCTTGGTGGGACCACGTTGACCCACAACCACGGAGACCAGGACCGTCAGGTTCCTCTCCAGGTGAGCCAGAATCTCTTTACCATATGCCTCTGTGATCATCACCGCCACTGTGTCACCAGTACCTGCACTCAGAACCAGAACCAGGTACAAGTACAGGATCAGGACCAGGTAGGACAAGAATCTGTTTTTGTTTCATCATAAATGAAATGTAAACTGTATAAAACCCATGTATAAAAAACGGTCTGGCAGACATCTCACGTCAAATATCTCAAGTACAACTTCAGCTTCCCTGGATACTGATGAAAAACAAATTAATGGCATATTTGCTGAATATTATGGTATATTATACACATGTGGCACTGACCTTGATTTGGTAGATTCTGTTCATGAAGAAGTGACTTTGTCTTAAGTTACAGACACTGAGAAGTCTATTCTGGACAGCTCTTAACAGCTGAGCAGGTTCAGGGAGTCATCAACTGTATGCAGTCTGGGAAATCACATGGGATGGGTTTTCAGTGGATTTTAAAAAAAAGTTTCGTAAGTGAACATTCCCCATTGATCCTGAAAATGTCTACTGAATCCCTCTTAGCTGGTCAGTAACCACAAACACTGAGGCCACCTTTATATAGCTAAGACTCTCTGCTCAGACTCGTTCACAAAAGCAACAAATCCTACACAGGATTCAGGTGAGGGGTGGAGCAGCAGACAGAGGCAGGATGTGACGTATTAATTCTGCTGCTGAGATTACGTGATTTTGTTTACAACACATTGACACCGGCGTCAGCTCTTATCACCACAAACTCTCTAGACATCTTTCGTGGATTGTTCTACATGTGTGTCACCACTTTTTCACCAGGAGATACAGTGAAGGAAATAATTATTTGATCCCTTGCTGATTTTGTAAGTTTGACCACTGACAAAGAAATGACTGGTCTATAATTGTAATGGCAGGTTTATTGTAACAGTGAGAGACAGAATATAAAAAACAATCCAGAAAATCACATAATAAAAATGTAAGTTATAAATTGATTTGATTAGATTGAGTGAAATAAGTATTTGATCCCCTTAGTACTTGGTGGAGAAACCGTCGTTGGCAAGCACGGACATCGTGGGATTCTTGTAGTTGGTCACCAGGTTTGTGCACATCTCAGGAGGTCCACTCCTCTTTGCAGCTCCTCTCCAAATCCCTAAGGTTTCGAGGCTGTTGCTTGGCAACTCGAAGCTTCAGCTCCCTCCACAGATTTTCTATGGAATTAAGGTCCGGCAAATTCAGCCGGAGTTCCGGAGTCCTGGCTGAGGGAAGGGGGTTGTTTCCCAAGATGTCACAGTACATGGCCCCGTCCATCCTTCCCTCGATGCGGTGAAGTAGTCCTGTCCCCTTAGCAGAGAAACACTGGGAGAAAGGGTGGGATGGTGTTCTTGGGGTTATAGTCAGCATTTCTCTTCCTCCAAACACGGCGAGTTGAGTTGATGCCAAAGAGCTCGATTTTGGTCTCATCTGACCTCATCACCTTCTCCCAAGCCTTCTCTGAATCATTCAGGTGTTCATTGGCAAACTTCAGACAGGCCTGTCCATGTGCCTTCATGAGCAGGAGACCTTGCAGGTGCAGCAGGATTTGAATCCATTACGGCGTAGTGTGTTACCCATGGTTTTCTTAGTGACTGTGGTCCCAGCTGTCTTGAGATCATTAACAAGTTCTTCCCGTGCAGTTCTGGGCTGATCCCTCACCTTTCTCATGATCATTGATACCCCACGAAGCGAGATCTTGCATGGAGCCCCAGACCGAAGGCGATTGATGGTCATTTTGTGTTTATTCCATTTCCGAATAATCGCACCAACAGTTGTCTCCTTCACACCAACCTGCTTGCGGATGGTCGGGCTACAAGACCATCCGCAAGCAGGTTGGTTCCAGCCTTCTGCAGGTCTACAGTCTTGTCCCTGATGTCCTTCGACAGCTCTTTGGTCTTGCTCATGCTAGAGAGGTTGGACTCTGAGTACTTTCTTAAAGCGAGAGGACGAATCTAACCGGTCTGTGGGAGCCAGAATTTTTGCTGGTTGGTTGGGGATCAAATACTTATTTCACTTAATCAAATGCAAATCAATGTGTAGCGGCTAAGCCTAAAACTTAAAGCCACTAAGGGGCTGCATAGACGGGCTAAAACTATTTGACGCGCTGGCTACTGCAGGACTATAACTTTGTCTAGTGAAACAAACAGCTTCTGAATTCGCTTCTTCTTTGGATGCATTCTTTATTTCTCACCGTTTCAATGATCTTCAATAACATACAAGAATCCATTGCCAGTGCATATAAAGTCCATTCAGCTGTGTCAACATACAACAAACAAACGTGACGGAGCCCGGAGCGGTCAAAAAACTGTGTGCTTCTCCGTCAAGCAACATCTGACACCGGACAGAAAGTTCCCTCCTATATAAAAATGTACACCATGAGACACCTATTGGCCCAATTTGGTACCTTACACACATTCACATAGAAATGGCTCCTTCACAATGTATAACTTTTATATGATGTGATTTTCTGGATATTTTGGGGGGAAATTCTCTCTAATGTTACAATAAACCTGCCATTACAATTATAGACCTGTCATTTCTTTGTCAGTGGGCAAACTTACAAATCAGCAAGGGAACAAATAAATGTTTCCTTCACTGTCACTTCATTTGTTTTCTTTTTGTTTTTTCGTGTCTGTCGCTTGTTAGAAACGTCATCAACTCCACTCATTCGCGGTGAATCCAGCGGAGGATCCTCTGCTGTGTTCTCACATCAACTTCTCCAGACTTTATACCAGGGGACCAAATGAAGAAAGTCCACAGAAAGTCTGGAGGCTCTCATGCAGACATTTGCATTCACACATACACCTCTGCAGTTTCTCTAGAGGATCTCCGGAGTTCAGTGCATTTCTGAAAGCAGCTTATGTCTAATACCCAAAAAGGATAATGACAGTCTCATTCCACCCAATCAGTCTCCTGAATGTGGATTGTTAAAAATTTAGTGAGGGTTCTCACGGCCCTTACATCTCCTGATAAAACAGGATTTGTTTAGGGAAAGAACCCCTCCTCTAAAATCCATAGGTTTTTAATATAACTGTGGCAGTAGACCATGCCACGGGGCTCTCAACACAGCAGCCAGAGACAAACCATTGGGTTTTAAGCATCTTTATTTTCACTCGTGACGAAACATAAACTCAACAAAACTCAACTCAAACTTGCCAGCTATTTCAGCTGGTGTTTCAGCTTTGCAGCTCAGATCAGTCTCTGTCCAGCGTGTGTTTTTGAGGCAGCTCAGCCGCTGCCTCTCACCTGCGCTGATTGAACCTCTGGTCCAGGTGAAGGTGCTCTCCCTGCTACCTCCACAATAACATACACTTAGTCTGCCTCCCGAGAGATTGTAGTTGTCTTGAATACTGAGAAATCTTTTGACCAATTGGAGTGGGGCTTCCTTTATGGACCCTTTCTAGACTTGAGTTTGGAGCTGCTTACTTCCTCTGGATCAAATTATTATTTGACAGTTCTTTGGCATCTTTTCGGACAAATGAGATGCATTCAAATAATTTTTTCTGCACCGGGGAACAAGACAGGGAGGTCCCCTGTAAGAGTGGGTGTGGTGGCGATGTGCACAGAGTGCAGCTGCTTAGTGCTCATTTCTGTTCACCTTTAGATTTACATGCACATGTTTTAATACATGTAGGCTGATGACATCTACATTAACATAGGCACCATCACATAGGAATCCTCGTTTAGATCACATCTCTGTTTTTAATGATCAAACATCCTGCTCCAGTCTTGGTAGTAAACATTCGGGACAACCGGCTCCTCTCTCACCATTATTGTCTGTCATTATGTTTTTAACATGCAGATCAGCCGGCACCGGCCTGTACCGGGGTTCTGCTCAAGCTCAATGGGTGGGATGTCTAAAGCGCACTGGAAGCAGTTGACCAATCACAATAGACTGGACCTGCTGGCTAGTCAGAGCGGACTGGGCTTTCTAGCGAGGGGGGGCAGGAGCCGCATCTGAGCATTTCAGCTGAAAGCGTCTACTGCAGCTGCTGCAAAGGAAGAGTATGAAGAAACGTAAGTGTTGTCTGAACATTGGAGCCTGTAAACCTTTGCAAGGAGCGCCCCAAATTATAATTATAAACACCGAAAAAGAATAATATTTTCCTTTAAACAATTTGTTAACACAGTCACAGTAAAACATCTCTGACCTTCATGTCCCATCTTGACCGTCTTGTCAGTGGAGTTGTTGTAGATGAGGACAGCTGTGGCGTTGTAGGCTGCCGCCTTCAGTATCTTCTCTTTAAAAGTGCAGTTTCCTCTCTGCAGCAGTGCCACCCAATGGACATTACGAGGAGGAACCAGGAAACGTGTGCTGGGGTCGCAGCCCTGCCGGTCCACCACTGCCAAAGAGATACAGCATTACCACGATTACCATCACTTCGCTCTTAAAATACAGGGTCTCTTGTGGTTCTAGAGTCTATAAGAGTAGAACAGGAGGTAGAACCTTCATACAACCCTACAGTCTATAGTTCTGAACCAGCCATTAGTTATGCTGCTATAGGCCTAGACTGCTGGGGGAACTCCCATCATGCACTGCGCTTAATTTTTATATTAACTGTTCATTAATAACACCTTATATTTGTAATTATCACTCTTATTATTTTCATTATAACAACTAGTCAACTAGTCAGAGCTAAAACATGATGGTACACAACTGTTCCTATCCCCCCCTCTCTCACTTCTTTCTCCTTTTTCCCACCCACCTCTCTTCTCTTCTATTTTTTTTTTCTTTATGTAACCTGTCGAGGCAGATGTCTCCACAATGAGTTCTGTTCTGGGAACTGTTGGTTTCTCTATAAATGTTAAGGTCTCAAGTACCTTGAGATAATGTACATGTATATTATGATTTTGTGCTATACAAATGAAATTGAATTGAAATTAGTTAATTAGGACTTCATGAAAAATATGATACAACACATGAGCTCCAGGTAGAATCCAGAGAATCGTCTCCAGAGTTCATGTTTCACAGCTGAACAACTCAGCAGCAGGTTTTCTGCTCAGACTCGTTCAGCATCAGATCCTCCTCGTTCTTCAGGTGAGAGGTGGAGCAGACAGACAGGAAGTGATCATGTGATCATGTTTACATCACCTGACACCGTCGTCACCACAAACTGTCTTCACATCTTCGTCTGTGTCTTCTACGTGTGTGTCAGCACTTTGTCTCCAGAGACATTTGTTTGTGTTTCTTCGTGTTTGTGTCACGTTTCTTTGATAGATGAAGCTTTAACAAACACATGAAAATATCAGATGTGACGTCACAAAACATCGAACAATGTTTCGGCTGTTTTTCTAACAAGAAAAAAAAAGATTATTGTTATTGATTTTTGTTTCAAGGTTAAACAGATATGCTTCAATATATTTTATTATTCTAATAACTTTATGAGACAGTGAAGCAGAGAGAGGACAAACTGGTCGGACCGGGATTTGAACCAGTGACCAGCTGATGTAAGTGAATTCTATGGATTCGGTTTCATTGATTGGAAATCTGCTCACTGCGTCCTGGGTCAGGTCATACAGACAATGTGTTGATGTCTTGAGCTGCAGCTGAAACTGATCTCTGATCAGACGCTCACCGTTCCGAGCTGCAGCTGCAGTGTCCTCAACGTCCGACAGAAATCTGACACCAGAGCAGAGACGCTGCGACCTTCAGCTGCTGGAGGCTCTGCAGTGTCTACACACTGCACAATAACAATACACATACTACACACATCACACACACTCAGTACATCTTCAGGAGTTGTGCGAGTGAATGTTGAAAAGTGGACCTTCTCCTGTTTGTTAACAACGTTAACAACGTTTCACCCCTGTTGTTGTCATGGTTACAGGTTAACGAGTTGTAATGTTAAACAGGCAGGTCGTTAAAACAACGAATCAATTAAATCAGTTAGTAAAATAGTTAGCAACAAATTTCATCATCAATAAATTATGTCTATGTCCTCAAGTGAATGTCATGTCCTCAGGTCTGTCATGTCCTCAGGTGTGTGTTGTTTCCTCAGGGTTTGCATGTCCTCAGGTGTGTGTTGTGTCCTCAAGTATGTGTTTTGTCCCCAGGTGAGTGTTGTGTCTTTAGGTGTGTGTCATGTCCTCTGTGTGTGCTATGTCCTCAGGTGATTGTTGTGTCCTCAGGTGTGTGTTGTGTCTTCAGGTGTGTGTTGTGTCCTCAAGTGTGTGTTGTGTCCTAAAAGTGTGTGTTGTGTCCTCAGGTGTGTATTGTGTCCCCAGGTGTGTGCTGTGTTTCCAGGTGTGTGTTAGATGCTCAGGTATGTGTCTTCAGGTGAGTGTTGTGTCCTCAGGTGTGTCCTCTCACCTCCGTGATGCGGTGCAGGTGCGATGACAACCCCCCTAGTGTCCACTTTGGGTGAATTCTGTCCATACGTCCCGTCGTCACTGCTTATCATGTGCACGGTGTTTCCTCGTCCGTCCAGCACTGTGGCGTTAACAGTGGCACCCACGTACTCCTCGGACACCATGTTCCTGTCAGAGCGAGCTGTGGACACAGAACTCGTCAGGACCAGGACCAGGACCAGTGAAACTGGAAGATGAGTCCACCTGAGGGACATGATGTTGTCTTCTCAATCCACTTTACATCCAAACTGTCAGGAAACAAAATAAAAGCTTTAGAACACATGCAGTCGTCCAGAGAACGACAATATCCAACTGTCTCCTGAGTGTCGTCATTATGTCTCTTTTTAAATGTTTATATAAAACTGTCTTTGTCTCTCACCAATGTCTTCAAACTGTCTCAATGTCTTAATTTATGTCTTCATGTTCATTAAACGTCTCTTGTGTTTCTCTTGCCCCTACAGTTTGTTTACATTAAAATGTCCTGTGTCCTCTTTCAGTTTCTTGTCTTTCATTCATTAAATGTGTTAAGCCCAAAAGTCTTTCAATGTTTTTAGCCCAACATAGCTGTCTCTGCATCACGCTTCTTATGTCCATGGTGTCCTCCAGATACATCAAATCAAAGTCTCTCTCTCTATCCTCTCAAAGTCTTTCATGAAGTCTGACTGTGTATTTGTATTTGAAAATAACTTTTTATGTCAGTCTGTCCTTGGAAACGTGTGTTCATGTCTCTTCATGACTCTTAACTTCTTCACGTCTCTTCATCGTACTTTTTGTCATTTCATACATCTGTATCTCTTAATGTCTCCTCATGTCTTCATGTCCCATCTTTTCTTTATGTAACTTCATGCCTGTGTCCCTTTATGTCTCTTTATGTCTCATGTTGTTTTTGCTTTTGGAACTTTGTTAAGAAGGATTTGTATGAATGGTTTATTATTTATGTATATGTATATATTTTTTTTTTTTTTTGTCCAATCTTAATAGTAGTTAATGTGCTCTGATTATCATTGTCTGTCCTCTCTCTCCTTCATCCTCTGTTGTCCAACTGAAAATGTCCCTGATGTTTGAGTCTTGGTAACTTAAGTTTTTTTTATTACTTTCTGTCCTCGATATTTCAAATCTCTAATGTCAGTTGTCAGTTTCTGTCCTTAATCGAATATTGACTTGTTCTTTTTGTCTTTTAAGTCCATCTACTTTTTTTAAATTCTTATATTTTAATGTCTCACCGTTTGTTAACCTTAATGTCCTGGTTTGTCTGTGAATGTCTTCTTTATGTCTAATTTCTAAAATGTCTTGATTTCTCTTTGTCCTTCCAGTCCATTCCAGTTCAGATTATGTCCTATAAAACATGTCTTCCACATGAAAATGTCCTCCAGATGTTTCTGTCTCTGAGTGTCCTCTGGATGATTCTGTCTCTGTCTGTCCTCTAGATGTTTCTGTCCTCCAGATGATTCTGTCTCTGCGTGTCCTCCAGGTGTTGGTGTCTATGTGTGTCCTCCGGATGTTTCACCTCCCGTGTTTCCTGTTGTCTTCTCGGACAGTTAAACCCTGGGTTCAGGGTTAGGGTTATCAGGACATCAGGACCGGTCAACATCTGGACACCGTCATGTCTCTGTCCTCTGCGGTGTCTCCACGACCATGACTCAGTGTTTAAACGGTGAGAAGCAGCTTTGTCTCACGTTTTGTCGGCGGACAGACAGACAGGACTCCCGCTTTACCGACCCCGCCTGCTTCCGCTGTCCTCCGGTCCTCTCCGGGCTGCTGCTCCGGTGCTGCTCCGCTGGTCCGAGTCTTCGGCGGGGGGATGCTGTTGATGATCGGGTCTTTGTTCCGGTTCAGTTCCGGTTCAGGTTGGACCGTGAAGAGGCTCGAGCCTCGTCTCTGAACTGCTGCATTGCGCATGCGCAGTATGGAGGGGGGTACTTTCATGTTTAGATAGACGAGATTTACATCAAGTGTCGCGAGATGTAACGAGACACACACACACACACACACACACACAAACTGAGATCAGATAACACAATTAAACATTCTCACGCTGAAACTCAGTCAAAGTGAACTTTATTGTCATTCAGACCACACAACAAGATGTGCACAGCAGAACAAACAAGCTGTAAACAAGCAGTACTGCTACTGTAATAAGATAAGATCAGATAAGATCAGACTTTATTCATCCCACACTGGAGAAATTTGGACGTTACAGCTGCAGATTGATAAA